AGTTAGACAAATCAGATTGCTCTCCAGAATTTTTGTAAATAGAGATAACAGATGCTGTTTTCAAGCACGCTTAAAAACTAGAATACGATAAGCACTTGTTAAATAGTTTTTAAAGTGAAAAGACAACAACTCTGGAAACTCTTTGAAAAACAACAACTCTGGAAACGTTTTGAAAGACAACAACTCTGGAAAATATTTTTGCAAGACTACAATCAGGTATTTTGTCCGGACCACAATCTGTAGAATAGTCTAACCACGAAATCACTTTAGATATAGAAACTGGATTTATAAGCAGATCAGGCAATGGATTAACCTGTTTATTGGTTATATCAGGCAGAAATCAAATTAATCTCACAAACAGAAAGTTGAACTAGTGAATTTTGCAAGAAATAAGACTCAACAGAGGAAAAGTTATTTCGAAGACTACGAATATTTTAACTTGCTAACTCAAAGCACAGATAGTACTCAGTACACTATTTAATAGCCCAAGCAAGTACCTTATTTCTACTAATAAACCCTAGGCCGTAACAAATGGGCTCCATATGTGGCCTTGACAATGCACATTAAAAGTACAAACAGGGACATCATTTTTGCGCAACATGGCAGTGCTAGTACTCTGATACTTTTCAGATAAAATCAACCTTTCTGAGAGCTAAAAAAAAGTTTGGGAAACCTGACTACCAGCCGTTCTCAGAACCATAAAATAGAGTTTTAGATAGCAGATAGATAACCATAAATAAATAAATAGAGTTTTAGATAGCAAATAGATAACCATAAATAGAGTTTTAGAGTTTTACTCTCATTAGGAGACATTAGAATGAGTTGCCTAGGAGATAATAGAATTAGGAGATAATAGAATGAGTTGCTTGGTCATAAAAACAGAGACACGAGTAAAACTTATGCACTGAGTCATAAAGATCTAGCATTCAACATCTTAAACTGGAAACAACGTATTATAAATACATCTACGCTAGTCTTATAGGTGAAGAAGGGGTGTAATGCTGGTCAACAGATATAATCTGTTTACCCGTTTACAAACAGATGTAATCTGTTTACTTTTAGTGTTTGCCTAGGAGGCCTTCTACAAGACAATAGCCGGATGCGTTTAACATCTGCCCAAGAAGAGTATTTTATTTATACCAACTCTAGCCTTTTCTTAATCAAAAGCCCCAAAGCAGAGTGTGTTTTAAGTTGGAGTTGGCTTCTCCTAGTCTTTTCCTAAAAAGGCATATCCTGCAAGGTAGCAGGGCATAAAGTAGTTGTACTGGGATGCGATTATTTGTTTGTTTTTTATATTTATTATTTGTTTTTTAATTTTAATATTTATGTTTATCATATTAAATTAATTGTTTATCTTTTGACGAAGTGTTGGGTCTAGAAGTTTCTTTTTGGCTGAACATTTTTAGTTTTTTTTCGATGATTATTAAATTTCGATTATATAAACTTTTTTCAAATGATTATGTAGAATTTTTTGTTAATGAACATTTACAACTCAACATTTTAAATGTTTGCAGATTTTATTGGTTTTTTGAAACTATTCCAAACTTGCAACTTTTGTAATATATTTTTTATATGAAAATAAAATGTCATTTATTACATAATTTTTTAAAGTTTATTTAACCATTTTGTCTTTTTATAACAAAACAACTTGAGCTATTTAAAATTATTTAAACTATATTAAGTTTTATTAATTCAAAAATTAGTATTAGAATGTGTCTTAAAAACATGTTTTGAAAAACCAAATGTGTATAAAAACAGATTTTGAAAAACCATCAAACCCTAGTTTATACTTATTTCAAATCAAGATGTTTTGCATAAAGTTAATAATAATTGGAGTCTGGAAACAAATAGGCCTTAGTAGTTTGTTTATGAAAAACAACCGAAAGCATAAATTATTAAATTACTAGCATATACTTAAACTTTGCTTCAGTTTTGATGATATTTTACTTTGTACAGTAAAAAACATTTTAAAGAATAAATTCGTTCATAAAAACATCTTACGTGAAGTTATGAAAAATTACTTGAAAAAATAAGAACTTGTGCTACCAATCCGTTCTAAAAAACTATTCGATTTATGTTAAAGTATTTATAACACTTAAGCGATTTATACCCTATATATAACTCGTACCCGTGTATTGGACTGTATGTACTCAGATCTCCTATATAAACGTTTGAATCTTTGTATGTTTAAAGTTGTTTAACTTTTTTATTTGAAAGAGTTTAAATATAAAAAATACAGTTACGACTTTTAGATAGTTGACACTTGAAGATAAGTTTATTGAACCCTTAAAAACATGCTATATCGCTCAATGCATAAAAAGTAGGTGTTACAACAGAATTTTGAAAAGTTTTGTTATTATTTATTGTTAAGGGGCAGATTGCTTGCGCCCCATCTCATAATAGCCTCTTCCCTCGAGTTTAAAAAAGTTGTCTATGGACATGTTTTTATTTTATAATTAAAAAATTTGATTGTATTACTTGTAAGGTTAAACACAGATAAGTATAACCTCTATTACTATTTAATTTAGACAATAGACAAGTAGTTTAATAAAAACTTTGCAAAAATAACAACTTAATCCAAAGAATATTTATAAAAAAAGCAGTTTAAACAAATAAATATTTTTTTCCCAAATAGCCTTATACTTTCCAAATGGTCCCTAATTATGGTAACTTGAAATACAACAATGCAATGCGTCCCGCATACAGATGCGTTTTAATATTTATGTAAATGATGGTTCACCTGAACTAAAACTTTCTAATGAACTAATTTAGAAAACTAAATGAAGAATAAAAATATTGTTTAAAATAATTATTATAAAAACAACAAAATAACTGCCGAAATACCAGTGTTTAATCCTTTTCATACCGGTATCCAGGCATACCTAGATAAATACCTAATAAAAATTTTATAAAAGTTTGTTATTTACTTTTTAGATCAGACAAGCCATTTTTAATAATGTCTCAATACAAAATATATTGACAAAAAAAAAAAAAAAAACTTTATCTGTTTTGTTTATTTTAAAACAGAAATTTTTTGTGAGATAAAATTTTTTGTAGAGTAAAATGGGGACAATTGGAAAAGTTGAGGATTTTAATTATTAATTTTTTACGGAAAAGAGATTTTTTCGTTGTTTTTTTTTAAAGTTGTAGAGAGTATCGAGCTGTATTTAAATATATTAAATTTTGAAAAATTTTTTCTACAGTTTTTTATGAAACTTTATTTGATTAAAAAAAAACTTATTTCGTTCTACACTGACATTCGGGGAGAATAAAATATAAGTGTAGTTAAAACAACACTTTATTAAAAAAACAAAAAAGCAATCAATAATAACAATTAAAAAAACAATCAATAATAACAATTAAAAAAATCAATCAAATCAAATAAACTTTTTTATTCTTTTGATGATGTTGAGCCGTTAAGAGGTACTAGAGGTTGAGTTGAGTTTTTACTTGTGCGGCACTTTTTGTAGCAATAAAGCTCAGCGCTTTTTACGTATCGCTTTAGTATGCATGTTTGACATGGCTAAACCTTGCAATTTGAATTTTCACAATGGTGCCATTTCATAATTTGACTAGCTGAAGTTTTGCATAAAACTTTTCGGCACTTTTTACACTCGAATTGGTTTGCAGCTAATATTTTCGTTGGACTTTTTGATTTGTTTAATTGCTGTTCTCCATTAGAGCTAAGCTTAGGTTGTTTTTTAGCTTGCTTAGCTGTTTTTTTGCTCTCTGCATCTTTCAACTTTTCAAGTATTTCAGGTTTGTTGAGACCCTCTTCATTGAATCTTGGCACATCAACATTTTTTCTTTTTTTTGTGTCAACATGTTGGATACAAAGCATTTGTTGCAAAGCTGATCCAAGTGATTGGAATGATTACAGTTGTTTTGCAACCTTTTTTTGAATTTCCTTTTGAATAACCGGAGTTACTATAATATTGAAGGTTGTTTGCAGACAAGGTGACTTTTGAGATTACTTTGGAGCTGATGCTATGTGACATATGCTGATGCTAGATGTTTTTGGTATAGATTTAGAGGGCAGTGGCTGAGGTAATGTAGTTACTGGTGCTAGATTTGGTGAGTGGAAACAAGCCAGTATTCTGAAACCCAGTGACTATATGGGTACGTGTAAAAACTTCACCAGACCTTAAAATATTTTTTTGCAGGTGACTGAAACATTCTTTTAATAAGTTGCTAAACTTTGTCTCTGCATAAAACTGTTGAAGTAATTTGCGCCAAACTCTTTTGACATGGCAATAAACACCTAATGGCTGTAGAATGTGCGATGAGTGAGCTGGTAAGCAAATTAACAAGAGAGTAACTAGCGAATTTCATTTATTTATTAGAACCATTTTATAAAAGCAGTAGGTAAAAGTCATTTAAATTCAGTTAAAAAAATTTGTTCATTGAAATTTATACAAAATATTTATAGTCGGAGATTTATTGGTCACTTGAGACCTAATAAAAAAAAGCCGCTTTTAAGAAATAAGCTATTGCTTTGTATTTATTTATTTATTAGCGTATTTCATTCAACCCCGCAACGCTCAGTTTCCGTTTTTAACTCATAACTTTTTTTCCTAAATAGCAAATTTAACTTTGAAAAAAGATTCTTTATCAGTGTAAAAAGTTGTATCAGTAAACATTTTAAGTTCAATTATACCGAGTTGAGTTTTCGAGAGTTTTAAGTTCCCTTTTCAAACAAATAAAAAAAATCTTATTACGCATTCGAAAACTTATAAATTTATAACAAAATTTTTTTAATCAAAAATATAATTTTATACAATCTTACTCAGAAAAATATTCTTTACAATATAATCAAAAAATATTTAGAAATAAATTATTCAATAGTTAATTAAAAGCGAAAGAATAAACTTTGTCATAACTATTTTGTTCTACCCGCTATTTCATTTTACCCTGTTTTACTCTACTTGACGAATTTAATTATAATAATATTTGGAAAATTAAATTTTTTTAATTCATTAATACTTTGTTCACTATTCTAGCGACCAATGTCACAATTATGACACCGATATCAACAAGTGTTGCATCTTCAACTCTTTTAGAACCAAATCTAACGAGTAGAGTATATACAACTGTTTTACATCCAAATCTTACTAGTATTATACGTACAACTGTTTTACAGCCGAAATTAACAAGCATTTTTTCAACGACTGCATTACAACCAAAGTCAACGAACGTTGCATCCATTTCTGTACTACAGCCTAATTCAACAAGCATTGTATCTACCTCTTCATTACAGCCAAATTCAACAAAGGTTGTATCTACTTCCGTATTACAGCCAAATTCAACAAGTATTGGACCAGCAACTACATTACAGCCAAATCTAACGAGTACCATAGTTACAACTGTATCACAGCCAAATCTAACAAGTATTATACTTACAACTGCATTACAGCCAAATCTAACGAGTACCATAGTTACAACTGTATCAAAGCCAAATCTAACAAGTATCATACTTACAACTGCATTACAGCCAAATCTAACGAGTACCATAGTTACAACTGTATCAAAGCCAAATCTAACAAGTATCATACTTACAACTGCATTACAGCCAAATCTAACGAGTACCATAGTTACAACTGTATCAAAGCCAAATCTAACAAGTATCATACCTACAACTGCATTACAGCCAAATCTAACAAGTATCATACTTACAACTGCATCACAGCCAAATGTTACAAGAGTTTTATCTACCACTATATCAAACCAAAATATCACAAGTATTATATATACTACCGTTTTATATCCAAATAGAACTTCAATAACTTCCACTAGTACTATTAAACCTTCTTATGTTACATCTTCAAATGTTACATATGTAGTCAGCAGTTCAGTGCCTTCTCCAACACCAACAACAGGTCCACCAATGGTGCACTACCAGTTTCCAGAAAATAACTCGTGCATTAAACTTGAAAGTGAAATAGGAATTAAAGTTCCAAACATTTCTCAGGTATTGCTGAATCTTTTAATTTATTTTTGTACTGCTTTTATATGGATGGTGTTAAGGCCAAGGTTGCCTTTACACCATCCATACGTTAAACTGCTATATTTTTTTAATGATAAACTGCTTTATTAAGCATTTATATAGGATTTAGCTTTATTTAGCATTTATATTATCATTTATATATTTTCTTTAATTTATTTTACTTTGTTTTTTGTATGCATTTATTTTTCTGTTTAAGTTATAAAATATTTTTTGCTCAGCATTAATTTAGTATGTCGTCCTAAATTATTAGAACTGATCACATTATGATATGTTAAAATTTTAGTTTTGAAAATTATATACTTAAATATGTAGGGGAGGATGGGTAGGAGTGAGCCAAGGGTAGGAGTGAATTGTTGATCCTACTGCTAAAACTGAAAAAGGGAAATGAAAAAGACTCAAAATTTTCACCAAGTAGTTACATAAAAATTGTTGCTAACACAATCCAATTTTTTTACCGCTCCTTGGTGCGGGTGTCTGTATTTACGTTGTCATCCACTCTTTTCTGGGCAAAAGTAAATTTTTTGTATTTTTTGAAACTTCTTTAGCGAGCATACCAATTGTTTCGAGACATTAGATAATGGTTGAAAATTTACATATAAACAATGTAGTTTTTAGAACAAAGTATTTTACATGCAAAAACCACGTACTTAATGCACATTTAATGTTTTAATCCAGTTGTACAGCTAGGAGAGGAATGAGCCATTCCTTTACCGGTAGGAGTGAACCACGGCTCACTAATACTTCACGTTAAAAAAGTTTTGACTTCAGCGTAAAAACATATTTATGTTTGACTTTTATAATTTAGTTTATCATTAGAAAACTTGTGTGCAACATTACATTTATTTTTACCATATGCTTTAATGCCTCGAGTCTATAAAAGAACAACTTCGAAAGCAAAAACTTCCAATAAAGATATGAAAGATGCATTTAATCCAAAAAGAAAAAAGGATTAGAGTAACTGCAATAACTTCTAAAATATTGCTATCTCGGCCAACTTTTTCTATAACAGTAAAAGGCAGCATTGCCATTACAAATTTAAGGTTGTATTTGACTATATTAGTAACTGCTAAATATTATTTTTATTCTATAGGCTACTTTCATTATATATATATACTTTTACTATATTTTATTTTTTAGAAATTATCATTTTTCATGACAATTTTTTGTTTTGTTGCCAAAATCAGTTGTTACTGAGAACAATTTTTTTTTGTAGTTTATACATTTTGTTTATTTCATTACAAGACTTTAAAATTGTGTTAAATTTATTGTTATTTATGTTACATTACTACTTAATTATGTCATGCTTAATTATAAAGTTGTTGTTACTTACTTAATTTTTAATAAATTTGTTAAAGAAAGTATCTAATTTAAGTTTTCTGGTAATTAAACATAATGGCTCACTGCTATCATTTGCTTGGTTCACTGAAGTTATTTTGATATTTCATGTATTACTATTAGAAACCTAATACCTTAGGCTACCTTAGGCTCCTTATCCTATATTTTTTCCACTTTTGGTTTCCTTGATATAATCGATTTAAAAAAAAAGTGGCTCACTCCTACCCATCTTCCCTTAACTTTTAATACCCTTAATGCATAATGTCGTTAGCTAGCGACAATTCGTAACAATAAAAATCATGAGGTCATGAGGATTGCTAGAAAAGCTAGCAATTAACTAGTACAAATTTACATGCTATTTTTACATGTAACTTTTATGCCATATACCACATTCTATGTTAATATTATTGTATATTAGTGTCTTATAAACTTATTACAACTGCTATTACTATGGCAGTTTTGTCTAAAACAACCACGCTCATTGCTATATAGGTAAGATATGTAGCTATTTAATAGAAACAGACTTTTCGTTATGTTATAATTTTTAGTCGGCAAATTGGACAAGTTAGTCGTAAATGTCGTCATGACAGTCGGCAAATTTTGTAAAACAAGGACCTTGTTTTTTTTTTTTAGTCGGCATAAGTTGTAATGGCACCCCCCACCCCCCACCCCACGTGACATCTACTCGCGCCGGCCCTGTCCAGAGGGCATACGTTGTCCAGGTAACGTCCGTCAGATGTCTTACAGACGTTTGGACGTACTTGATACGTTTAATGAATATTTTCCTAACAGTTCGTGCTTATTGAGTAGCTACAATAATAATATTAAAAACAAAATAATAATACAAATAGCGCTAGTTTAAAAGCTGTGATGTGTTTACATATCAGATTTTTTTAGCTTGCAACATCGACTTGGTACAATATTTAGCTATCAACGTATTGTTTTAAAACCACTAACTCGCGTTATTTAAATACATATCCCTAATGTGATTTAATGCATTAACATTGTTAGCTAAAAAGCTATTATATGTAATGATCAAGTAGCTTTAGATTTTTCGTTATGTTGTAGTTAGCTAAATGCCTACAATCTATTGCTATCGGTTTATCGTAATGGTATCGCTAACTACCACGCTACAAAATGTAGCCCTAAACTAGCTACTGGTTTTCTGTTATGTTAAAGCAAGCTTCAATGCGATATATTGATGACTATTGTGTTACATAGTAGTAATATCTACAAAGCTTCGATGTCTAGAAAGCGACGTGTCGTAATAAAATTGCATTAAAATGTTATAAATTCACTTATTTCCATAATTATATTAGATCACATACTATAAATTGAGTTTTTTAAGACATAAAAGACGAAACAATAGTGTAAGCTAAAACATTGCTTAAAAACTAGCTATATGTAAGCCAATTGTTAGCTCATTTCCCACCGGTGTGGAACTTGCATGTAAAATGTATATGACCTTTGTCGACTCTTGCGAATCGGAAATTTTAAAATAAAAAAAATGAAGAAAACTAGAAATTAGAAATAGCTAACGCAATTAAAACTCATTTTATAAAAGAATGTTTTTTTAATTAAATTACTCTCTATAAAAAAAGATTTACAAAGTGTGACAATTCTAGTTGTATATTTTTATACATTTAAAAAAAATTTAAAACATTTAATTGCAACATTTTGTAAAACTTTTTTAAACTATAATTCAATTTTAAGATTTTGTTCAAATAAAACAAGCACCTTGAATGGAGTTGAGAAATTTATTGTGCATTTTATAGACTACAGACTCATTTAATTTAACTACCCTACATTAATGTACTTTTTAAAAACTGAAATCTCTATGACAGCTACGATAGTTAGAGTATTAATATTCTAATAATGTTAAAAAGTGAAGCTTTAATAATAAGTAAATATTATAAAGTTAATGTTTGAAAGTTCATAATAAAAGTATCTTGATAAATATATAGTTTATATTAAAATATCCTGGTTCGATTCAAATAAAAGACTTTTTTGATCAGATTTTGTGATTTGATTCAATAAGAAATATAGAAGATTTGCAGGGGCCTAGTCTTTTAATAAAGATGAACGTGTTTTTGGAGTATTTATTGATTTCTCTTTGATACAGTTGATCATAATTTTACACTTTCAATGCATTAAGTCAAACAAGTGAGTAAAACACTTTTATGTTATGTAAAATACAAGTGAATAAAATACTTTTTGTGTTATGTAAAATACATTAAAATATTTTTAACATAAATTTAATCTAATTTCAAAATTATAACCTCTGGTTTATAGAAAACAAATTACAAACACCAATAAAATTAATCCTGTATGCTAAGAATATTAAATAAAATGTATATAAGGTTGCAGGCGTTATGTTAGTTAAATGTAACGTTATGACAGATTTCACATTGACATACAAGTAGCTGCATGAGCTAACGTTGATTCTATATTTTACTAGGTTACCGTCGTGTTAGGCCACTCTGAGTATAAACTTTTAGATGTTACGTTAACTAGACACCACTGAAATATAATTTTGTACTTCAACTTTCACAGATGTTACGGGTTGTTCCCTTAATAACAAGAGTTCTTACTAAAACATAACTTAAGTCTAAAGTATTGTAAATATTCCAAATGATTGTGAACTCTCACTACAAGATTCCAAACTAGAAGAACTCCAATTAAGAATTTTAATTTTATAAACGAGATTTTTATATTTTGGTTATGCGTAATATAAAACCTTTAAAAACTTAAGTAGTAACTGCAGAACTGATATAGGAGTTGGGTTTTGTTTTTATGTTTATTGGTTTTCTGTGAATGAAATTCAACATCAAACTTATCTTAAATTTCCAATTGCTAATTTGTTTTTTATTGATATTGTCACTAAAAATGAAGTCTCTAATATTAATAAAACCACCCTTAGAAATGGAAAAAGATTTGGTCCTCAAAGCCTTACAGTATATTTTCTTAGTTTATTCTAGTTATTATTCCTAAGCTTCTCGCTATTATTATGAATAACTCATTTCAAATTGGTTATTTCTCAAATGCTTTCAAAGTTGCTAAAGTCATACCAATGTTTAAACAATTATTGTATCTAACTAACGACCAATCTCTTTTCTTTTTAACCTAAAAAAACCATTGAAAAAGATATGCATAAGAGGCTATACACATTCTTGGATAAATTTAAATGCTTTTACAAACATCTTTATGGGTTTTGTCCAGTTACTCTAAACTCACACACATATTGAAATCACTGATTTAATTAAAGAGTCAAAGAAATTAGATAAAAAAATTATTATTATTATAATTATGATGAATATTCAGGAATATTATGATTATGATAATTATGCAGAAGAATTAGCTCTGATATTCTTGAATCAAAGGAATTCCTAATAAACTTTCTATCTTTACAACAGATCGCAGTGTGCTCTAATAATAACTCAAAATCTATTTAAATAAATGTTCCAATGGTGTCCCTCAAAGCTCAGTATTAGGACTACCACTTTTACTTCTTTACATTAATGACCTTTATAACTTTATTGAGTTTTCAACAGCTTACAACTTTACTGATGGTACTTATTTGCTCATTATCAAAAAAAACTTAAAAATAAATAAAAGGAATATCTCTAATC